ACACAAATTATAAAATAATATTATAGGAGTAAAACTTTTTTCAAGTACTTGAGTAAAATGACTTTTACATTACATCATCAGGCATACTCTTGAGTTGTGCACATTGTTATGATCAAATATGTGAACTGGTTTCCATCAGTGATGCTATCAGAGGTTCTGCAGCAGTCACATTCCCAGCTCGGTCATTATGAGTCCTTTGATACATGCTCTTTGAGGGTCCAAAGGACAAAGCGACAGTGTTGGAGCAGTGCCCTGGGTCACTGGGAGAGAGGACCATTTCACACCCGTCAGATCCCATTCCCACCCAGCCTGGGCACTCTGAAAGGCACCCATCGGGGGACCAGCCTTCGCCCCTACGGCCTGTCTGGCCAACACAACCCCCTGCCAACATATTCTCAGTGTGTATGTGTACATTCCCCCTCCCTCTCACTCTCCTCTGCATTTCTTCCTCATCCTTCCCCGAGCCCTGGGGTCAGCTCCGTCTCTGACCTGCATTCTAAAAGCACCCTTTTGACATATCTGTCCACGACTGGTCATGCCTTTGTGGTTTAGAATCTCAGTGAGAATGCTTTCTATTGGAGCCTCAGCTGACTTACTGTCAGAAGTTCTCACTGAAAACAGAAGCCCCCCCCCCCTCCCCCGGTGGCACGAATACAGAAATCTGATTTGTCTACTCAAGCGGCTGCGGCTTGTCTGCACGCCTACCCAAATGCAAGTCAGATTCCAGGGTTTTGAAAATTGAATGTTTGCTTGAGTCTTGACCCGTATGGCGCGGGAAGGAAGCGAGAGATGAAAGACGGTGGCAAGAGGAGAAAAGCGAGAGCAGCTCACAGACACATTCAAGTCCATTTATCCACCTCAAAGTCAAACATACAAATACAAATCCATTTGTTTGTTTGAAATATGGTGCTCGTAAGCCAATCCAATGTTTGTGGAATTGGCTAAAACAGAACAGAGCTCTCCAGCTTGCGTTTTAGGGAGAGAGGAGAGAAACAGGCACACACTGGCAACCCACACAGTCATTACACCACTCACTTATTGACACCTCTGACTCGGCAATGGATTCCAGTCATGCCCTTCATCGTCTTCCCATAGCCTCTGAGGCTCAGACGCATGCACACTGTTAGACAAACGGCTCTTCGTGTCACCTTATGTGTTTAAACTCTACAATCTGAGCCTTGGGGGTGAGAAGGGGGAGTGATGTGGGCGGTGGGCAGCTTTTGTCAGCTCTCCCACTGCTCCATTACCATGCCCCATTCAGCCGCAGGCCCCCCAAAAATCGCTCCTAATGACTCCGAGCAGTATTCTTACAATACAAAACGGCCTTTGTACACATTGTGCCAGAGAGAGTCATTTGATATAGTGGGGTATCAAGTCCATTTCCAAGTCTTTTATTAATGCGGTGTTCAAATAGATGGTAGGCTTTATAGAGTGTGTAGTGTGTGTGTGTGTGTGGTTGGATGGGCAGGGGTGGGGGGTCTCACAGCAGACAGCAGGGTTTTTGGGAGAGAAGAGGGAAATTAATTGCTCTGAGATGACATCAGAACCACAAGCACGGTGGATGTGTGCAGAAACCTCAGGAGGAGCTCTGGTTGTGTTTGGCTCAGGCTGAATGGCTGCAGCACCATGGCCATTCTCCCTTTTGAGTTCCGGCACAATAATGGACCCGGCCCTCTGCATTTATACACACTGCTTCCCTGGCTTACTTCCTGCAAACCTTCCTTTGTGGCTCTCCTTCTCTGCTCCTTGAATAACACCGACAAGTTAAGATGGAGCAAATCCTAATGAACGCTGCCAACAATGCTGCCATAATATCACTAGCTCAGCAGTTGTGAGCGGTGCCAACTTGGCATTGTCGTGGAGGTCATGGGAATGATGTTGAGCTTACAGGTTCCTTCTAGACAAAGTCCTCAGCATGTCCTCTGATATAAACGCCAGAATCCAGAACTGACGAACGATAAAAGTCGTAATGAACAGACCGGTGCACAAACTCAGAATATGTAAAACATTTTTTACGTGGATTAACTAAGATCCATGTTTACACTTCCAGTCCCACTCTGCACCACAAATTATTCACCTTGCATCCTCCAGGTAAAGGTGACCGCTAGCTAGCATCGAACACAATGACCACGTGCGTTATGGTGTGTGTGTGTGTTCAGCTCAGGCTATGACTGAAGTCAGCAGAAAATCGGGTCACCCTGTTTTTTCCCCTCCAGCTACTTTTACATATTTACTTTTACATCAATGTTTTTTATTACATTGATGTTTTATGACTCGGTGGTCTCCAGTGTGATCTTCTTTGCTGTAGTGTGTTGGGGCAGCGGGGTGAAGACAGCTGATGCCAACAGACTCAACAAGCTCATCAGGAGAGCAGGCTCTGTCCTAGGAGTGGATCAGGAGTCGTTGGCAGTGGTGTCGGAGGGGGGAATGCTGAGGAAACTTCTCAGCATTCTGGACAACGGGTCTCACCCCCTGCATGCCACACTGGTTTCCTACCGGAGGACTTTCAGCCATAGACTGAGATCACCGATAACCGATAACCACCACACAGCGCCACAGGAGGTCTTTCCTCCCAGTGGCCATCAAACTCTTTAACTCTTCACCCCTAAGTAAAGGGCACTGAGAACTTCCACACCAACACTATGTGCAATATACATATCAATATAATAACCATCATTACAATACACTCGCTGCTATATATAACAATGTGCAATATTATTATTATTAGTAGTATTAATAATGCTATGATAACGTGAAATTTACGTAACTGCCACTACGTTTTATTTTTTGCACTACTAACTACTAAATACTGCTAATAATTGCATTGATTGTGTGACCATCTATGTTTCTATGTTTCATGTTGTCTGTGGATGTTTAATTGCTCTTTTTGCTGCACTTTTAGTGTACAGTTTTGCTGCTGTGTTTATTGTGTTTATTGTATTTTGTTACTCTGGCACAACAATTTCCTTCGGGATAAATAAAGTCTTATCTTATCTTATCTATTCTCGTCTGTACCTTTACAAAAGCAGTTTCATGGAGCCCTGACACACACACACACACTCATTTTGTTGTTACTTATGCAAATGTCCTACATTTGCATTTAATCTGGACTTCATGTTGACTTTGTATGCCAACTAGAATGTGGTTGGTGCTATCTGAGAACACGGTTACACTTCAATGACATACCAGCTATTTACAAAGCTTCCCTTTACTATAAATAGATAATGTGTGTTTATGTAGGGGTGCAAACATGTGCATCTGACCACAGCAAATGTTGCACACTACCTGACCCATCAGCCTTTATCGTTGGTGCAAAGCTACGTCAATACAAATGCTTAGTGTTTGATTTGTGCTCTGCCTCTTCTCAATTGAAAGGCAGCACTGACAGTGCTGACCCTACCCCGCCCCCCCCAGCCTGTAATCTTAAGCCCACATCCGTCACTGTGACCCCTGACCCTGCCTTTCACCGCAAATCATGTGACCAACCTTACATTTCAAAGCCAGCGCCAGCATGCGGACGGCTGCTTGCTGCTAGTATTCTCCTCCTGTACGTTGCTACCTAGAGAATGAAAAGTGAACCTGTTGCCAGTTCTTTTAAAATTGTGCTTCGGGAAAGAAGATACGATATAAGGACATCAATCATGTGATGGAGAGGGAAAGACAACCTCGTCTTATTTCCGGAAGGCCTAATGACACCCTTTGCTGTGCCAAAATGTGAAGTGCTCTTTCCATCTCTGAACCTAATTAGGCCGATGACTCAGATCAAGTCCCTTAAGTTTAAAAGACGAATAGTTCATGTCTCCTGAGAGAGAAATGCGTTCAGTGTTTTCAAATTCATTTTAGGATGTCATTTATGGTTATAGGAGGGAAAACTATTATCAAAGCAATCATTAGATGTCCTTCATTCACAACATAGCAATTCCCCAGAACTGTTTAAAAAAGTATCCAAACACAAAAGGACTGAGAGTATCTGCTAATCCCAAGGACAGCGGATCCACGCAGGAAAACACACACAAACACCCACACAAAACGCACTTATCAGGGGTACGTTGGAGGAATGCAGGCTAGGTTTGGCTGCCCTGCTGTGGGATTAGCGTGTGTTTGTATCAGTGGGTGAACTGAAGGAACCCTCTGTCCACACCAGAGAATGCAAACGGCTACGGCTCAGGGTGGTGACCGTTATCATACCGTCCCATGCAAATAGCTCAACAATGGAGTGCAGCAGAGTTCAGTGTTGTAGCCTCTTGTGAGTCAATGTGGCTGATAACGTGCCTCCCCAGACTGTGGCTCTCCAGTAGCTGAGAACCTTTTGTGTCAAGGTGAAAGGACTAATAGGAGGGAATGCAAACGCTAATGAGTTCCAGTCAACCATGATAAAGACCGTTTACATTTAGTTAATAGAGCAGTCACAATTTTAATTAGGTTTAATCAATAAACAGTTCATTGCTGTAAGATGGTATTTGTGATCAACAGAATGTTGTTACAGGCAAGCATGAAATCCTGTTTATAAAATTGCATTTGTGTGCTCAGGTATTCAACTCAATTGAACTTACCTATTTACCTTGTATTTTAAGTCAATAATATATATTTACTTACTTTCATTTTAGCCAAATGTAAGGGAAATGTTCCTATAATCATGATAAGGTAAGCACTTTTTAGTTCAACGTGGCTTGAATTCCACTTTCCATTAAAAGAGAAACAGCTGACCTTTAGCTACCATTAGCTGTCACAAAACGGAGGTTCAGGTCATCTCATACGCTACAATGAGCTCATCACATTCAGAGGCAATTCATCATGCTTGAATGACAGCAGCTAGAAACCCCAAATGCATGACTAGAAATGTGCCATTACAAAGAAATATGTTTCCTTCAGTTGATTCTATGCTGTGCATTTACACCTCTTGTATTTAACACATTGAGGGAAGACGATAACAGAGAGTGTGATATAAAAGCAAAAACATGATGAGCCACAAAGGAGTTATTTCACAAAATTATACTCACCAGCCAAAGAAGCGAAGCTCAAAAGTGTAAATGACATCTACAGATTTGCATTGGAGCATCTCATCTATTTTAGCGGCTGCTCACACTCTTTATCCAATCAACACACTCCGCTCACTTGCAGAGCACATCTGCACTGACTCTGGACCACCTGCTTTAACTCCATGCTCCAGAGTCTGACTCGGTTTTTAGCCTGCTTCTGTTTGTGTCTCTCCTCTCTTATTTAGCCCACCTCCTTTTGCATCCCTCCCATGATTCTCACTCCCTCTCACTTGTGCCTCAGCCTGTTGTAAGGGGGGAATTGGGAAACTCCCAAAGCACATGAGGAATCCTGTCCGTCTGTGTTTGTCTCAAAATGACATGTTTCTGCCCCTGATTTGATCTGAAACACACACACGTTTTAATAGGCACACAAAAGGTGGTTAGAAAAAAAAAGCATGAATTGATATAATCTCACAACCCCACCCCTACTCTCACTATCTTTAACCTACCCCTGAAAGTTCTTTATTATAGACCCTGACCCAGTATCATGTTCAGCCGCCTTATCAGGGCCGGGCCAGCACTCCCCCCTCTCTCATTACCTCCCCCCTGCAGCCTAGTCTTAGTTAAGCCCATACTCCTGCATGACTGCTTGTCCATGGACTGCTTTAACCCTTTTCCTGGTTCACCAGCTCAGCCAGCAATAAGCCTATTTGAGTAGACACGTACATGCACACACACAGCGCATACTTACACTCAAGATTGTTTGCACGCACGGCACGCACGCACACACACACACACACACACACACACTCACACACCATCACTCAACCCCCGGCTGGCTGCCATGTCGGTACCCCACGCCTGGAGGCCAGGACCAGCCCTCTGTAGAAAGGCTTTTAATTAGATAACAGTGAGAAGGGGAAAAAAAGTGGAGCGGAGGGAGCTCTAGAATGGGGAGGGTGGTTAATGGTGGGAGGGGAGGGGTGTCCAGTAATGCCATTAGACTACGGCAGGCTTTAAGGAATCCCTGTTTCTGGAGCCCAGAGGCAGATCAATATGAAGACAGAGTGGAGAGCGGCTGCTGGCAGCTTTCTCTCTGCAACAGGAGCGGCTTGCCTGGAATTAAAAGAATTCTGAAAATCCCTTTTTGGAGAAAAGCCTGGCCCGACCCGCTCAGCGAGGACTTTGCTGACTCACCAAATATGTCCTACCCCTTTAAAAATATGTTGTCCGGATAAATCCGGAACATAAACAAGCACACATAAAACTAATGAAGTCACGCCCATCTACTTCCGGTCCATGGGACCTTATTTCGGAAAAATAATGTATTGAAGTCAATGAAGAGAGAAAACGTATCTTTCGATCCCGTTTGAATTGTGCCATGAATTACACATATGATGTTTGTCAATCTTAACAAATAATTTCCATGTCAAAAAAGTCACAGTTTTGTCGTAAAACTGTTGAAAAATACGCAACTAGAAAGACTACAAATCCCAGAATCGCGTAAGTGATGTCACAATTGTTTTCCTCCACTAAGAGATAGATTATCTATATGGCGCTGATTTTAGCTATCTATATGGCGCTGATTTTAGCTATCTATATGGCACTGGCTAAGATAAGATAACGTTAACAAGATGCCTGTGTGCTTAGTACCAGGTTGTTATCATACCAGCAATGGGTCTTGCTCGTTCTTTCGCTTCCCGTCTGATGAAAGGACCACGAGTGGCTGGATCAAGTTAGCTACCTAGCTAGTAGCTAGCACATTAGTTAGCATTACAGCCTTGTCATTTTTATTAGCCTTAATATAAAGTAACATTAAGTAACCCAAAATGTTAAACAGTAAGAGTAGTAGTCATATTTCGTGAACCCTTTGAAGAGTACTGTCACCGGTGTGATCATTCTATAATACACAATTTAAGCCCGGGGGAGAAATGCTAACGCTAGCATCGGCGATCGCCGATCTTTTCTACTTCATGCTATCTGCACAAATGGTTGACATTAAACATTAAAAAGACCATGCAGTTCAGAGAGAATCAAAGGAAGGCAGGCAGGCAGCTTTGCATGACATTCTTCTGGACGTGTTTCATTGTGGTGATAGTGAGGGTAGTCAATCGTTTTGTTGACAGTAGTGACGGCCATCTTGGTGACGTGTGTTGTTGTGAGAGTCTGCGAGACCAGAGATGTAGTTCATTGAGCGTTTCACACAAACAAATGTGTTACTTCACAGTTTTACGACACATTTTTATTTTTTTGACTTGCAAAATTATCTTTTAAATCAGGGGTGGGGAACCTTTTTCCTCTCAAGGGCCATTTCAATGTTTTCAACATCGTCCGAGGGCCGTACAAATTATTGACCTCTGCTTAAAAATACTCATTTCACCTTTCTTTCATGCTGTGCAAAGAAAAAGCAACCTCTTAATCCAGATATCTTACCATGACTCGTGCATGCATGCACATGCACAGTTGTGGCATGACCACCAAAACAGAAAGTTATGGACACAAGATGTGTGCAAATGTATTTAGTTTCCTATCCATTTAAATGGGGGGGACCTAACCTCTTCTAGGGGGGTCCGGGGGCATGCTCCCCCGGGAAGATTTTTTTTTAAATGTTGAAGTTAAAAGCATCAATCTGGTGCACTTTGAGAGCAACATTAGATCTATGGATACATCTCTCAACATCCAGATGAAACATAACTGTAAGCAGATTTTCTTTTTCTTTATGGATATTTTACAAATCACTCTCCTTTTAAACTGTATTCTTGTTTATTAATAACAACTTTTTTTACTGTCATATAGTATTTTATACCCGTTTAATTTATTCTCTTATTTTTTTATAACTATAATGTTCATATAAAGATGTGCCTTTACCTCACTGGTTGTAGAAAAAGCTTCTTATATTCGTTAGCATAGCTAGCTAACCAGATGCTAATAACAACAAAGTTATTGACTGTATGATCAGTATGACAGATCGCCACTGGGCTTACAACTAAGACACAGCCACGCAAAAACTGCAGCATGTGTACGGCTCCTTATGGGTAGCCTACTGCAATTTTTGGAAGTGCCGGAGCGGAGCTGCGTTCTGGTGCTCCCCGAACTACACCCCTGTCAGACGACACATATACCAGGTGAACATGGTGATTACACGTTAGGCTTGTGTTGTGTTCAAGGACCCTGACCTTGGCCAGGAAAAACAGGCACTCACTTGTTTAATTATTTTGCGGTCTAGATTTGTTTAATTTTTTGCGTGTGTTTATAAATTACCTCGAGGGCCACACCAAATGGTCTCGCGGGCCGTATACGGCCCGGGGGCCGGAGGTTCCCCACCCCTGTTTTAAATTAACAAACATCATGTGTAATTCGTGGCACAATTCAAACGGGATCGAAAGATAATCTTTCTCTCTTCGAAATAAGGTCCCATGGAGCTCCCCCGGAAGGGGAGGGACTTCGCCACTCTATAATGCCCTTCCTTGCAAAGATATATTATATCAACGGTGTGCAATCACACACCCCAAGTACAAATACGCATATATTTAAGCACACACACTCCTAGTTGTCTATTAATTAACTAGTAATGGAAAACTGCAAAATAAAATAAAAAGGTATTCACATTAGGGCTGCACGATTTGGGGAAATAATCTAATTGCGATTTTTCTGACAGATATTGCGATTCGATTTGCGATATTTGTTTTTAAGTGACCCAACGGAAGTTTATTGTAAAATGCGGCCATATCTCCGGCTAGGAAGGTCGCATCAACATGCTCCCGTCTCTAGCACCCCCGCAGCCCGAGCTACGAGTGAAAGAACTAAACTTACATGAAACTTCCGTTGGGTTGCTTTAAAGCCAAGCTTCAGTTTAAGATTCACCCTGTAATAGAAACATGTGATGGAGCATTACTAACCTGACTCAGATGCTTTGTTTCACCAAACCATCTAAGAAAGCTCCATTGGAAGCCATTTGGAAAGGGCAGGCACTTTCAAAAATACTTGGCAGGTGATTGGATCAATCCGTCTATCACCTTCTATCATGGGCCACTTCTGATTGGTTAACAATGGCTGGTAAATGTGGAGCACAGCACTTCTGATTGGTGTGGATGACTGACACACGAGAAGAACAAAACAAAACAAACAACAAAGAATTTGCAGGCTTTGCGATTTGATAATTGCAGCATTTAAAAACGTGATTTCGATTTAAAATCGATTAATCGTTCAGCCCTAATTCACATGACGTGTGGAGTTTTTCAGACAACTGTACTTCCCCAACCAGCCTACAGCTCTTTCTACCAAAGGCTCTGTTGATACATACAATTATCCTGCCCCAGAACCTTTCAAATCTTCAAATTGTTGTTCTCAGATGGTTGTTAACATAGTGTACTTGACTATAGCTTTTGCTAGAGATGCTTTAGCAATCTGGGCAGGCGCAGAAGGCTTTAATTCCACGTTAGCCTTTCCACAAACCAGACTTTCTTCAGCACTGGCCAAACCCTACGTGCCCATAATAAGCTACAACACACTGCTCTCCGCTTTGATAAACCAAGGAAACCAAAACAGTGTGTCAGAAATAGAATTCAGGGGCCACTTCTCTTGGCATAGCAGCAGGATCCCAATAAAGCCTGAATGTCACCCACATTACACATAGCAAGAAGGATGAGACAGATCAATCACTCATTGTGTGCTCTCCCAGCAAATTAACCTTTAAGTAAATCCGTGACGTTGATGCTTAAACACAGAGCTTCTACACATACATAGCTTTTAACATGTAGCGCCCTCAGGATTAGCACTACTCCAATGGCCATAAGAGCACATGACAGTTAACAGTCTCCAGGAGTTGAGGACATAAGATAGATTGTCCAAGAGTCTTCTGTAGTCCCTAAAGGCTCAAGAATCCTATCAGTGGGGTTTTTTTTACGCAGGGCCAACTGTTGCACACCGCCACAGGACTGTCTCAACTACCTCGCTATTATTTATAATGAAAATGTAATTATGCAATGTTGAATCGATCCTTTAAGCTGCACCACGAGGCAAACGTGGTGCATCCCAGGCCTACACAGAACTGTTTAACACGTTTGTTCTTGCGTCTGAGAAGAGAAGAAGAACTCGTAGCAACAAAGATAACTTCGGTTTCTAGGGTTTTTCCTGCGTACCGGATTTCAGGACGGAAACATGTGACACTTTCAAAATCTTAATGAAAATTAGACGAGATATGCAGGGTTTTCCCCAAAGAATGCAGTTTCTATTTTGATATG